AATAGCAAAAGCTAGAGGAAATATTTGTCCATTAACATCTACTACCACGACTATCAACAGCTTGATATCGTACTTTCCATAGACATAAGTGCCGTCTATAGATATTACGGGCTGGCAATGCGAAAAACCATCAATTGCTGGTTTAAACGCCCAGAACACGTAATTGAATATATATTCTGGTTTACCCGGACTCCACTCAAGCTTCCATTCAATAACCATCCCAGGGTTAAAGTGCTGCAATGCGGCCATGTACCTGGGCAGAGCTGCAAATGACTTATCCCAGTTACCATGGACTATTTCAAACGCTCGTTTGCGCCCGAAGTATGCCTTTCTTTTGGTAATGGTATGGCCATGTTCCTGGTGGACTGATGTAATGCACTCTTTGATTTAATACCTTATGGACGCTTCGATGTGTGGAATAAGGACAAGAGAAATCAAGTCAATATCCAAGTTGAAGTGATTCCTGTTGAATGTGTCCATTTCGCATGTGTGGGTGGGAATGTATTTACCCACTTTCCACAGACCTGTCTTCTTCTTGCTCGCACGCAACATCCAATGACATGGCCAAAACCACCTGCGACAAACAACCTTGTATACAACCGGACTTGACTCCCATACCGTCATTTCACGACACTCTTTTACGTTGTGCATTTTACAAGCCCTGCTTACGCGCACTTTATCAGGAAAAAGCATGCCCTTTGCCAGCACCGTTGGTCTAGACTCATCCCACATTGCCGTCCGAATTTCATCAAAATCCCTTGTGAGAGCTTCCACATCCGGCATGCTTGGCAAGTTATCAAGGTAAGGAATCTCCCTTGAATGAAATAGCACTTGGGACTCGTACACTCTTCGTCTGGGGGGGGGGGGCGGGGTGTGGAGCATACTCGCTCCTCAAATCAGGTCCTTCCTTCTCATCCCTCCTCATCACCATCCTCACACGAGAAAGGGTGTCTCTTCTCCAGATTCATCAGCATTGTTGTCGTAATCACTGTTCTCTTCCTCACTCTGTACATCTGCCAAATCCCGATTTAATACGTCATCTTCGAGCAATTGAGTGAGTACATGTGGTTCAACTTGCTCGTTTTCACTATACAATCAACAAAATAATAAGCTACTGAAATTAATAAATACTTTCCATATAGCTGTATCACTTCACTTACAAGTTGTAATGTGATGAAATTCCATGATGGACATTTTCATTTAGGTGATGACTCCCGGATGGACCACCATGATTCAACACATCAAAACTATGCTTGGGTTCGTAATTTGTAAAATTTATATCCGACCGGTACCCCTGTTAAATATATGAGCGTTAATACAAATTCAATACAACAAAAATGTACATCGTAACACAAAGGAAAATTGAAGTTTACCACTCGTCTTGTGAATTATGTAAAGCATGCAGTGATAAGTTTATATCAAGGAAAACTCTTTCATCCGGACCTGTCCGGCAAAAACTGCTCCGGAATAACCACCCGATGTCTGGGGGTTATCCGGAACCTGTCCGACAACCTCATTGTTGGGAACGTCTTCGACCTTGACGTACATATCCAACATTTTGATTACAAGAAATTCCCGGTATTCATCCGGAGTCCTCAGAAAATCCCTCAAAGTTTCATCATCGTCGATGTTTAACTCCGAGTAAAAAGCAACCCCTTGCGGAGTGACGAAATACAAATATATTCCGGTTACTTTAAGTATCACTGAACGTTTCCTGACACTCATTTTTTTGCATAACAACGATTTCAATTTATCGTACTCCATTGTAAGTGGTAATTTAACATGACCCTGTGGAGATAAACTGTACCTCACAGAGTTATTCTCCATCACAACCTCACCCCCCAATATAATGAAACTCTTATTCTACGCTCTTCAGACATTATGAAAAAATGCTTGAGAATTTAACAAGAAGAAAAGTTTGAACGGGAAAATCCATTCACAAAAAATAGGAAAATGGCTAGCCTGGGGGCTGAAATTCTTTATGTATAGTACTCTTTGAATGTGCGCTATACACATTTGAATTATTGTTATGTCAGTTAACTTATTGGTGGGCCCATAAACAGGTATAGCGCATGAATTTACTGTACTATATGTATATATATATATATATATATATATATATATATATATATAATATATATATAGCGTTTTAATTCCAGGCGCTATACCTGGCAGTCAAGTCGTCAGAGTATACCGCACAGATTTCCGGCGCTAAAAGTATATCACACTTATTCCATGCGCTATACCTTAACGGCAAAAGTTACCGTTAAGGTATAGCGCGACAAATTTCAGCATCATATGTAAAAAAGTAATTTTTTTTTATACTCATTAATGTTATATTTATTCAAAAAAATAATAAAAAGGTTCCGGACTCTTCGAACTGCCTAGGAGTACTTTATTATGCCTCAGATGTCTAGATCAGATTTGACAGTTCTACTTGTGCAAAATATTTAATTCAATTCAGATTATCATGCTGCTCATTTAATAGACCCTCCATTTTAGATCTCTAATAATTGCTGGTGTTTATATCTGTCAGCTTTAATAATGCATCTATACTTTTATGTGGACCTTCAATAGAAAATTCCTCGAATGTCGTTCACTTTTACTTGTCAATTAATATAAAAATATTTTCACCTTCACTTGTCACTTTTAGAATGAGAAGAGAAAGACAATTTTTTTTATACGTTATATTAATAATATTATTTACTCATTTCAAATTATTTTTTAAAACCATTAAAAATATGCATCATTAATACGAGTAATATGATAAATTATACACTTTATTTATTATTTTTTAAGGTATATGCAAAGTCCTTAGTTGATTATAAGTAAAAGTGAATGGAGGGAGTAACATTTATGTTCGTGGACCTCTTTGGAAAGTGATAGAAACTAAGAGTCCACCAAACTATATAGAGAACCAAGTTCTCTATTAGTTCCCACAGAACACACACACTGCAGTAAGTAAATGACACAATGGAATTTTACGTGAAAAACTCCCAGCTCGCGGGATTAAAAATCACGACCTACCCTTGTAAGATTTCAACTTCACTACCGAGCAAACTTTAGATTACAACCTATTTGAACCTAGGAATTAAACTCTTAATCCCTCACTAACTTGTAACAACTCTATTACAAAGACTCATCTCGACTAACTCTAGCCAAGACACAAACACAAAGGTTTATGGCTTATAAAGATTTCCTACACAATGCTTCTAACTAAGCTAAGTAGGAATTACAAGTAGAGTACTTTAGCAAAGGTGCAACACAACTAAGGATATGTAATCACTCGATACAAGGAACTGGTCCGTTGTTATGTTGTTATTTGTTCTTGATGCTCTTGAGAGTCACTTGCCAGATTGATAGATCACTTGAGAGAGTGCTTAATGATTCTTGAATATGCAAGTGAAGTTTTACCTTTTGCTTCAATGTTAATATTACATAGGTGACATCATTTGAATGATGTAAGCATGTTTGGTACAAGGACATTCTCCATAAAGTTAGCACTGTTTGCTCTGCTGCACGTGCAGGCTGCAACTTTACAGCTGTCTGGGGGTTGACTGGTACAGTCACCAAGGGAATTGGTGTCCATCTGTTTCCTCTGTTATTCCCTAGCTGGTTTTTAATATTAAGTTTGTTAGATCATCAAAACATAACAAGGATACATATAACTTATCAGAAAGGAAAACAAAAATAACTTCTATAGTAATTTCATTCATTTTACGAATAGATTATAGTATTTGCTCTATTTGGTAGTTTGCAAGTAAATTTTCGGCGTGAGGATTGAATTGTTTGAAGCGCTACCAGAATTTTTCAATTCTCTAAATTAAGAGTCGAGAGATTCTCATCTATCATACTATATATCCTTTGATGATCATTGAATACTTATCATCTTGTTCATTGTATATTTTCAACCTGCAAGGTTTAGGAAAGGGAGAAAACTTACTGCCATAAAAGTGGCCATACGAATTCTGATAGGTCATTGGGGTAATTGCCTCTTCGTAAGCTCTAAGGAATCCATCCTTAGAATCAATTTCAGAGGTAGTTTGATGTATGGGATAAGAATAATAGTTCCGGAATAGAATTTATAATTAACTTTATCTTATATTTGGTTTGGAATATTATCTAATCCCAAGATAATTTTCACACTAGAACAGTAAAATTGGTTATCCCATATAAAAATAAAAGGTGAAATAATTAACCCCATAAGATATTCCACCCCATAAGATCAGGGGCGGACCCACATTGATTCAAGCGGGTTCAGTTGAACTCGCTTCGCAAAAAAAAAGTCATTATTTATATGTGAAAAATATTTTATTAAACAACACAATATAGTATAATTATAATAAGTTGAACCCGCTTGACAGAAACAGTAGTTGGTCGAGTTGGCTCAAGCGGGTTCGGGAAGTAGGTGAGGTCTGATGTTTTGTCGAGACTTTTACAGTTCAATGCTTTCCTGCTCTTTATTTTGCCAAAAGCATATAATAATTATTTGAACTATTCTGCTTACCTCCTCATTGTAGCCCCTCACTGTTTTTTTCTTAATTATTGTTTAATTTAGCTAATTTTCATAGTTTCGAATTCTGATTCTATCAAAATTATAACTCTAAGTCAGTTTATATTTTTATTCTATTGTTATTATTTTTTCATAAATTGTTTATTATAATGAATATTTCAGCATTTGTTAATCTGTTAGATTTAAACAATAAATAGAGTTGGCTGTTTTATAGATTGAATTGATTTTGTAACGTAAAATTCAAGAAAAAAGTTCAATAAATTGTCAAATTTGAAAAAGTAAATAGATATGTTGTTCACTTTTATTATTTTTATTTTTTTAAGAGCTCAACAGAACAAAGAGATCATGAAGCAAAATAAAGAGCAGAATGTCGATGACTTTACTTTCTGTCTGAACCGCTTGCACAGGATCCTGGGTCCGCCACTGCATAAGATATTCCAAGATATCCCACCATTGTACCAATCGACTCCTCTCGGTACAATTACTATTCACTTTCAGAAGCAACCATCTTTATTACAACAAAACTAGGATGGCCCAATTGCAGTTGAAATTACATAAAATTAGGATTACATTAAATTCCATCGTCCAACAAAGTAATTTTATTACAACAAAACTAGGATGGCCCTGTATATTACATAAAGCCTAGCAAATCCCAACTAAGATTTGCAAATTTATCAATTAGAATGACCTAATAAAAGGTTCATTCCAAGACTTATATATAACCTTCTACTAGGCAAGATTATGGGAAGAATGTATCCTCAGATATCCTTTTAGGGATCACCTCAATTTGCACTTCCACTTCACCACATTCCACATTTTGCAGCATAAGGGTCATGTCTTGTATCATTTTACCATTTTTCCATATAATGCAGCTTTCCTTAGCCAGGCAATTGTCTCTGCTTGGCTGAACTCTGTCAACTTCAACGCCATTCGGAAGGCATTGATTGCTTATATTCAAAGCTTCCAGATATGGTTTGATGTCTATCTTTGCTTCCCCAATTTTGTCATCTTTAGTGAATGTATCTTTGTCATACACAGTCTGAAATAACACCATCCTCATATTAGAAATTGAATCAGAGTATCTACGCGTAAAAGCACATACTTTATAAGGTATCATAGGCTCAGTTAACTTTTCAACCTTAGCAGATCACTTTCGCTTTAAGTCAAACCTTGTATAACAGGAGTAACAAATAACATATGAAGAAGAAATGAAGGAGAATACTCACTAAAACAACAGGAACATTTGGATATTTCAGTGCAAGTGTCAATTCATCATTCCAAACAGGGTTGCAGTTGTTCTTCTTACAACTAGTCTTCACTCGCTGTAAGATAATTGCAGAACATCAGTACTCAATCATCAGAGGCGAATATAATATTCTGGCTATGGGTTCATCTGAACACAATAATAGCGACACGGAATATGAATATATATGTAAAAACCTATTAAAATCCTAACAAATATTAGATCTGCACCCATATTTTTAACTACACAATGAGTTCCGCACAAGGTCGAACAATCCTAGATCCACCTCTGTCAATCACAAATCATAACCGATACCTAACATGTCAAAGATAAATATATATGTAATTAACATATACCTGTTCACCCATGGTGACAACAACATAAGGATCACTGCGAAATGTATCCTTGAGGGGCAGGTTGATGCCTCTCTGCACCCTAATTTTAAGAAGTCCCAACATCTCCATTTTCTTTCTTTCTTTTTATTCTAAAACTTGAAATTCAAAATGGTATTGCAAATTTTCACTTAACCGGTTTATGCGTTACAACAATATATATATATTATGGTGGAAGATACAAGAAAGAGAATAGGACCTCCACTTATACCATGACCTTGTCATGATTTTTGTGTTTTTATTCTTTATATATCTCTTCAGAATAATTCTAGCACGTAAGAATATCTTGATAAAGAAAATGGAAACAGGAACTTATAATCTCATCGGCTCATTCGTTATTAAAGAATCAGTCACTTTCTACACGTATTCTAAGAGAATCCAGTAACTTTCTACACGTCTCTTGAGCTTTGGCCTGGTCAGCTTTATTCCTATGCTACCACCGCCCTCCCATAATCTTTAGTGAAGGAGATTTATCTCCTTTCACACAGTGTAAAAAAGTAAAAACAATTTCTTTTTGTATATAAATAAACTATTGAATCCCATCACAAAGGTTCATATCTTTGGTGCGGCATTTTTATATTTATTTGAAATGATGAGCAGCGAGAAGATTTAAAGTATTGACTGAAAATTGCTTCTCTCCTTCTTCTTCTTTTTTATTATTATTTTTCTTTTATAGAGTGCTTTAACTAGCCAACTTGAAAATAGAAAATAAAATTATGATTCCAAAAATATATCAACTAAACTTTTGTAACTAAATTCAAAATTTACACAAAGGCTTCTCCTATACATAAACTACTTAGTATTTATATCCATATTATTATAAAGCACGAATATTAAAACGCTAAATGTTGACGACAAAAATATCCGTGTTAAGTTAATCATGAAAGTACAAGAGGGGGTGGGGGTGAATTGTAGCCAAAATTAAAAACTTCGTTGGCTAAAAAGGAATTAGTCGACTAAACTTTTCCACCAAGTTTGATTTGCAGCAGAAGTAAATTGTGCAGGATTAAAATAGTAAATGCATATGAGTTTTATACTGGTTCAGTATCGGTGTACCTAGCTATATCCAGTTCCACTGGGTCACAAGACTTCTCATAGAACTTCAATAATGAGTTGTTACACAGCAGTGGTTTTAGTTCGTTCACCACTAACGATATTTTAGCAACGGTGTTTGTCTAAACTTGACACAATTCTTGTTTTGTTTTCTAATACTGTGTTTGTACTAAGAACTAGAAAGATATAGAAACATGTATTTAGTTGCTTAGCTTCTTCTTCTATCTTCCAGCCTTCTTATATGAGAGTCTTGAGATCTTGTAATCTTCTTTTTGAACTAGACGTTGCAGATTGACCATTGATTGAGGCAAGAATATTTTAAGAGATTTGACCCAAGGGTTGCCTCTAAATCCCCCTTACAGGATAGGCTGGATTCAATGATCTCTTTCCTATTCGTGTTCCTGATTAAAGGTGTGATTTGCGACTTGACTTGATTGATCAATCACCATAATCTTCTGATTCTTTTTTCCATAATTCTCCTTAACTTACGAACTGGCTTTCCCATATCAGCTGCACTTGATCTTATTTTCTTTTGATAGCATTGTCATCCTGATTTCCTTCAATCAAGTAGAATAGATTAGATTTGCACTATTGTTATCATTAAAACTTAGGTGTAGAAATCTTCCCCTTTTTATGATGATAATAAAAAGGAGTAAACAGAGCACACTTCCCTTTTAGTGAAGGCTCCCCTTGATTTTGTGCACGCCTGAATTTTAATGCTAATGCTGCTCTCCCTGAGTTGCTGCTCTGCATTACTCTAATGCTTCTCCCCCTTTGACATCAATCAAAAGAAAGAAGAAGGTACAAGCGATAAATAACATGTAATGTAGCAAATAATAAGCATATCAGATAAGGTAGCAGATATTATACCTTCAGCTGAGGCATATAATAATGGTTCTTATAGACCAAAGTAAAAAAAATAGTACCAAAAGAAATTGTATTTAAACACACACACATAGCGGGCCTTAGTTCCTCCCTAGAAAGTATTTCATGGTATAGATCACTTTGGTGCAGAAAGAGTCATACGAGTTTCAACTTCTTTGGTGAGTTTGTCCATTTTCTCTGTCATGGAGTTGAATGTCCTGATTCCTTATCTCTTTGTGGCTCCCATGTCTATCCTGAGCTTAGCCACATCTGTACTATTTTTTTGGTGACATCCCTGATCTTGTCTACCCGTTCTTTCATGGCAATGAGCATGGTCTTTACTTCATCCAGTCCTTGCTGAATTTGCTGCAAGTTGTTGGCTGCAATCGACTGAGTCTCTAGTGGTTCAGTTTGGCTCAAACTGTACTGGAGTGCCTCCAATCTTGGCACGTCTAACCCATCAATCTTCACTTAGAGTGTAGCCCACCATAGCGAAGGATGTCTTATCATAGGTCATGTGATAAACTTAGGAGAAAAAGGTGCCAGATCGACCTTCATTACTTCTAGAATGTGTGAGATAAGCAAACCATAAGGTAAACAAGTAGAAGAGAATGATATGTCTCTAATACTTTCAAGAATGTACTGACGAATCCAAACAAACCAGTCAAGTCTTTTGTTGTTCATAAGACAATACAAGACAAAAATATTCCTACTGGTTAAAGTGATGAAAGATCGAGTCTTAGGAAGAAGAGTAGTAGTAATCATGTGAGCTAATACACGATGTTCAAACTTAAGACTTTTAGGACCAATATCGGGGGGGGGGGGGGGGGTCAGACAAGAAAACTTTTGGCTCTTCTAGGGATACTTCAAAATCTTTTGGCCAGGAGTTTTGAACAAACACATCATAACCATGAAATTTAGCAGAAAATAATTTCTCAAATTGATATAAATCAAGAACAATACAAGTACCTAGAACCATTGACTCCAAGTCATCTTTGTCACTGACAAACATATTGGCATAGAACATTCATACAGGTTCTTCATACACAGTATTTCCAACAGTATCAAACAGATGAGAAAGGCGTTGAAAGTCAAAAATTGAAACAACATCACAGTGAACATCCTTCACAAGAGAGAGACTTACAGAGCGCAGAGCGCCCATAAGCCATAGATTTTGACTTATAAGATTCGAACCTCAATTTCTCAGTTAGACCATAGAAGTTCAATTTGTCTTCAGGCCCAAAATCAGTGCTTTCCACTTTTCCCTTCTTACATGCAGGACTTTTGAGGGTTTGATCCATGGGTCTCTTCCCGGCTTTTTTCTGGCTTAGCGTTTGATCCTCCGATGAGTCACTACTCTCATTATCAATTTTGAGAGGGTCTGAGTCAGGGGATGACTCAAGATCGACAGTTTCTTTAGGGTTTTGAGTCTTTTGGAACCGTTTTCTTCGTCTTGTGACAGTGTAAGAGAAGAGGTTTTTCTTAGCCATGGTAGAGAAGTTTGGTTAGAATTGAGAAGGAATGAGAAAAGAGGGGGTATTTATATAGCCACTTGGGAGATTGAAGGGTTGCATTGGTTAGAGGAAGGGTTAGGAACATATTAAGTGACATTTCTGAGGAGTTGCTTCGGCGGTACCAATGGAAGGTAATAATTACACACACATCAAATTAATGAAGCCTATCAATTAAGAAAACTTATAAAAGGAAGTAAAAAAATTTGCAAATATTAAAAGGATTTTTTCACACAATAGGCAGGATTCTAATCTTAGTACGCAGTAAGCAAAAACATTCTCCCAAAATAGGTTTTGTAAAAATATCAGCAAGTTGAGACTCCGTATTAATAAATTCTAACACTATATCACCTTTAGCAACATGATCATGAATAAAATTATGCTTAATTTCTATATGCTTTGCCCTGGAATGATGCACAAAATTTTTTGATAGACAAATAACACTCGCGTTGTCGTATAAAATAGGAGTAGAAGTAAGATAGAGATCATAGTCAAGAAGTTGATGCATAATCCAGAGAATTTGAGTGCAACAGCTTCTAACAGCTAAATACTCTACTTCAGTAATCGACAATGAAACACAATTTTATTTCTTTCTATGTCAAGAAATTAGTGCATTTCCCAGTAGTTGGCAAGTGCCACTAGTGCTTTTCCTGTCAATCCTATCACTTGCAAAGTCTGCATCTGAAAAATCATTTAGATCAAAATTGTTATAATGAGAACAACGTAAACCCAATTCAGTGGTCCTAATAATATATCTAATGATATGTTTTACCGCAGTCAATGGGATTCCTTTGGAGCCGACTGAAATCTTGCACACTTAAAAATACTGAATATTATATCTGGTTGACTAGCCGTGAGATATAGAAGGGATCCAATCATTCCCCTATACATAGTTTCATCGACACTTTTCCCGTCTTTGTCTTCTTCAAGAATTGTTGATGGAATCATTGGTGTTCCACTAGGCTTTGCATTCTCCATACCAAACTTTTTAATAAGCTCCTTTATGTATTTGGTTTGGCTGATGAAGATTCTTTTGGAAGATCGCTTGATTTATAACCCAAGGAAGAAAGTCAGCTCTCCCATCATGCTCATTTCGAATTCTCCTTTCATAGTATCATCAAATTCCTCACATAACATAGAGTTAGAACTTCCAAAAATAATATCATCTACATAAATCTGAGTAATAAGATTACCTGAATTTGAACGCTTAATAAACAGAGTTGTATCCATATTACCTCGTTTGAAGCCATGATTTAAAAGAAAAGAGCTTAGTCTTTCATACCAGGATCAGCGACTTGTTTGAGTCCATATAAGACTTTTGATAACTTGAAGACATGATTTGGGAGACTGTTGTTTACAAACCAGGAGGTTGTTTCGCATACACTTCTTCAGAAATATATCCATTTAAGAAGGAACCTTTTGCATCTATCTGAAATAGTATGAACCCTTTATGAGCAGCAAAGGCAAGTAATATTCGAATGGATTCAAACCTTGCCACATGAGCAAAGGTTTCATCATAGTCAATTCCTTCTTGCTGTGGATAACCTTGAGCGACTAGCCTTGCTTTGTTGCGAACTACTTGACCAGATTCATTCAGCTTGTTTCTGAAAACTCATTTAGTTCCTATAATTGATGCATCAGAAAGTTTTGGAACTAAGTTTTTATTTCTTTCAAATTGATCAAGTTCTTTTTTACGACTTTGACCTAGTTGTCAGCCTTAAGAGCTTCATCAAGCTTTTTTAGCTCAGTTGAGATATTAAAGCCATGTGAGAGATCTTCT